AGAGAGAGAGAGAGAGAGAGAGAAGTTAATTGAGAATAGAATTCGACCAGAATCCGCACAGACTTCCAAAAGGCTTGGTAAGAGATCGCGGCCCAAATGAATTTCAGGCCACTCACAGCGTCCCGATTCCTGAAACAGCTTGCCCGAATCTTTCGAACAGAAAAACGTTTGAGTCTATAACGTCGAAGGTTTTAATCTAGGAACTCCATTCCGAAGAAGTTGAAAATTGATGTACTCAATGCCTTCCATTGCTCCACGGACCAATTCACCTGTTTTTTCTTCTTTGTACCTACTATCATCTGCTCTCATACGTTTCTCCAGGTTCAGAAACCTCAGTATTCTCAGCACAAAAAATCAAGTAACCGATTTTCCGGTTGAGCAGAGAACCCCTTATTGCTTTCTATCCACTACTCACAGAGCTCTTAAACAAGATTGAATTGACATCTTCTTTTTGTCGTCCATTCCTTATGCAAATCAAGGCATTGCGGCGCCGTTTTCGAAAGCCTTTTTGTGTGATTAGTTCTCTTTTTTGCTCTCTCTCTCTCTCTCTCTCTCTCTCTCTCTCTCTCTCTCTCTCTCTCTCTCTCTCTCTCTCTCTCTCTCTCTCTCCTTTCTGTTCTTCTCTTTGAGGTTTACTCAAACAACAAATCATGTATTCCTAGTGATTTCTTGTTTTGTCCAATGGCAAACATTCCAATCGTTGAGTTGATTTTTACGATGAGAATCTTGGAAACGGAACGAAACTAGCACTGTTCTGATTAACTACAGTAAAACCTGTATAAAAAAATCTCCCTATCTTTTAACTTTGACATGGAATCACTCCCAAGTGTTGCCCTCGAAAAAAATCGAGACGTATAACTTGGGATTTTTGAGATATTGAACATTTTTTCGGTTTTTTCAAAAAATCAATAATCCAATCAATGGGAAAAAAATCAAAAAAAAATTTTCCAGAAGTTCAATTGATTGTCTATCTACTGTTTTTTAAAGTTCAACAAACGAACATAAACTGACAAAGTTATGATTTTTTGATAATATAGCCATTTTTTGGTACTTTTTGGACCATAACTCCCCAAAAAATTTTTATCAACTATTCCTCTTAAGATTCTTGGATAACTTTTTACGCTCTTTTTAACCATATACGTCTCGATTTTTTTCGAGGGCAACACTTGAGAGTCATTCCATGTGAGCCAATTTTTCTTAGTTCCCGGTTTATCATAGCATCAGAAGTGTTTTGTCAGTTGACATATTCTTGTTAACTTGCATAGAAACGATAATTGAGCTCTAAATTGGCAGCGTTTGGGGCCTTTCTATTACAGGTTTTACGTTATTTGTTCATGTTCAATGTTGTTCTGTGAGATTTACCTAGTGAAAGAACACATAATTTGGATTGGAAACTAGTTGGATCACTCTCGCTCCCACCACTTTATTTTTTCCAATATTTTTTGCCGATTGGGATCTTCTCTGATTCTCTCAATCTCTCTTTATGATGATTTATGTAAGTGATCTCTCTCTCTCTCTCTTCCCCATCTCTCCTTCATTTTTATTCCTTTTTACCTCTTTTTTTCCACCACTTTGTCATCGTTTCCGCACGATTGGTAGCAGATCAAAACCTGTACTTTTTTCTGAAAATCAATTTAATTGTTTCAGAGATGATGCAAGCATATGATTACGACTCGGATGAGTCGCCGACGACGTCAGATGAGCACATTAATTCCAGAAATTGTAGGTTGAGATTCATCGGGAAGAACTAATGATTTGAGGAGAGAGAATTTCAGATAATTTTTCTATCTAGACTTATCCTTTATAGGATAACAATAAAAGTATTATTCTGGTTCAAAAACGTAGCTGTGGGGAGAGANNCA